CCACCCTTCAGTGCCCAGCAGTGCCACCCATCAGTGCTGCCCAGCAGTGCCACCCAGCATTTGCGCCCTCCAGTCCTTAAGTGCTGCCTATCATTGTCCATCATTGCTGCATATCAGTGCCTCCTCATCAGTGCCTCCTCATCAATGCCCACCAGTGCCGCCTCATCAGTGCCAATGCAGCCTATCAGTGCCCATCAGTGCTGCCTATCTGTGCTGTAGTGGATTGTGATAGACAGTCCACGTTTTATTAGATGATCAGTAAAATGACAATTTTATAGTCTTGCTACTTTCTGCTTCTTGCTCTTTAAAAATTCCTTACTCTCTTAAGTAAACAATCAGATATAGGTTGACAGAACAATGATGATAATTAAGATGGCGCCTTCATCCGGAGTCTCACCCTTGGTGACTCATTAGGAGAAAAGTATCTTTTAATGTAAACAACCCCCATAAAAGGGAATGAGTCTTTTTGGGGACAATGGTTGGAAGATATCAACACGGATGGAAGAACACGCAGAAACCCAGTGGACTTTTCACCCAATCAATGTATATGCTTTGCCTGCATCATATGCCCTATAAAATGATACTGTTAGTTCCTCAATAAAACAGAATTTTAGGAAGTTGGCAAACTGCAACAGTGTCAGTGTCTTGCTTCCACGTGCACGTATTCTCATATTAATTTGGCTCACTGGTAGATCACGGTAAATGGTCTGTAAGTGACCGAGTCCAAAACAGTGCCACCGCATCAGTGGTCATCAGTGCTGCCTATTAGTGCCATCAGTGCTGTATATTAGTGCAGCATCATCAACGCACATCAGTTAAGGAGAAAAAAATACCTGTTTGAATAATTTTATAATACAAAGAAAACTTTTTTTTTCTAAATATTTTGCTCTTTTTTTGTTTATAGTGCAAAAAATAAAACACCCAGTGGCGATTAAATACCTCCAAAAAAATCTCTATTTGTGTGAAAAAAAGTATAAAAATGTCACATGGTACAGTGTTGCATGACCACGTAATTGTCATTCAAAGTATGAGAGAGCTGAAAGCTGAAAATTTGTCTGGGCACGATTTCACAATTTCTGGGGTACTAGCAATGGGATATTGATACTTTGAACTGTTTGTATGCTTACACAATATAGATACCTACCTGTTCTATGCATACTCATTTTATTGTGTTATATGCATCATTGAGAATTTGGATTGGATCTTGGAGATCCTCCTCTCGGCAGATTAGAAGAGAACAACACAGGATTTGCTGGAATTGGATTTGTAGGTATGTTTGTGAGCATTTCACATCAAAAAAGGCAAGGAAGAATCCAGGAACACTTTACCAAAGGTGTTTGACATTTTTTCTTCTACACCTAAACAACCCTTGATGTTAGCCTAAGTGCAGATTCACACATTGGCGTTTGGAGACAGGAGCATTTAGAGGTATTTGCACATTCAGAAGAGGATCATTTCAGTAGAAATAAATGCCCAAACCTCCTAAACAAGCCTAAACATGTCTAAACATGCTTCAATCCTAGATGCATTTAGTGCTTGAGCATTGATTCATTTCAATGGCAAATATATATAAGAAATATTGCAAGCTCTGTTTTGGGAGTTTAAGGTAGTGGTGTGACATCCATGCTGATATGTCACTTAGTAGATTTGTGATACGTGAGAAGATTGAGGGGGTGAGCTGGGGAGTGGAGTGGAGTGGAGAGATAGATCTGTGTGTCATCAGCATAGAGATGGTATTGGAAGCCATGGGAGGTTATCAGTTGGCCCAGGGAGGAGGTATAGAGAGAGAAGAGGAGAAGCCCAAGGACAGAACCCCAACAGAAAGAGGAAGCGGAGCGGAGGAGGAGGAGTTGTATGTGACACTGAAAGTGCACTAAGAAAGGTAAGAGGAGAACCAGGGGAGAGCAGAGTCACGGAGGCCGATGGAGTGAAGTTTACTGAGGAGGAGCGGGTGGTTGACTGTGTCAAAAGCAGCGGAAATGTCAAGGAGTATGAGTATGGAGTAATGTCCATTGGTTTTAGCAGTTAGTAAGTCATTAGTGAGTTTTAGTAGGGCAGTTTCTTTGGAATGTTGTGGTGGAAGTGTAGAGGCTAGAGTCGTATTTGAGAAAAGCAGATTTGTAGAGGGTAAAGTCTTTCAGGGATTTAGTTTTACGCCATGCTCACTCAAGAGTGCGGCTGTGTCTCTTGAGACTTCTGGTGTCATCTGTTTGCCAGGGTTGTGACAGGCGAGGCCTGGCAAGGAGACAGGCTGGCATTCCTTGTGCAAAGTATCATTACGGCGCTAAGTGCCTGGCAGTTTAAACATGGCAACAAGGGAACATCTCAGTATCCTCTCATCATTTCTCCTCTGCTCCTTCAGGTAACCACTGCTTCCATTGCCCTCTAAAACTTCCTGCTCTGCCTGCAACTGACATCTGTCTTCATGTTGCCCTTGGTAACCACTGTTTCCATTGCCCTCTGAAACATCCTGCTCTGCCTGCGACTGACATCTGCCTTCTTGTTGCCCTTGGTAACCACTTTTTCCATTGCTCTCTCAATCACTAAGCTACCTTGCATGCCTGAAATTATCTGCTTTGTTAGATTTTTTTTTTTTAACTATTGTGTATACTTGCCAGTATTAAGTGAACTTAGCCTCATAGTGCCTTAGCTGAGATCAAACACCTTGCCTTACCTTGTGTCCATCCTGTTTGCAATCTGTTGAGGGTGGAACACATCCACCATGTGTCATTTATTAGCTCTTAATTGAACGATTAGCAAATGGTCTGAATTAATGCATAAATGTTTGATGCGCTCAAATTAGTTGGCTTTTCTCCTGCCAGATGCAGAGGCCTAAAGATTACATTGAAGCCTGTCTTCGGGATTAATTTGAGGTTTATAGTTGGGGGTCAGTTCCAGATAATAGTGCATTAGTTTAAAATTTTCAGCTGCACGATTTTCTACATTTATTGTTCAGTTCCTCATCAATTTTTTCAGGTGTGAAATATCTTGGCATTGAACATGATGCACCCAAAATTACCATACCGAATTTATTGTGTTTGGAAGCTGTCATGGAGCCTTGTATCGTGTTAACTATTAATTAATGTGGAAACTTTGGAGTCTAGGTGATACAATATACAGATAGGTGTATGTAAACTCTTCAATTAACAATTTTTTCCCTTTTAATCTTTTAATCACACCACTTAGAACAGCCCAAATTGCTAAAAGCTCAATTGATTTAACTCTTGTCAGTTTGATGTTGTTGAGTGTTGTTAAATATATGGCATTAAAAAGTTTGAATCTTCTTGCAGGAGGCTGACCATTTGTTGACTCTTCCTGAAGACATGTGTGAAGGCAACCAAACTGAAGTAGCTAAGTTTTTGCTTCTTGGATTTCAGAATCTCCATACAATTAAAATTCTTCTGTTCATTGTGTTCTTCTTATGCTATATAGTGATATTAAATGGAAACTTCATCATCATTGTTTTAATATCAATTAATAATCATCTTAAAATCCCAATGTTCTACTTCCTCAAACACTTGGCAATAGCTGACCTCATGATAACCACCACCATAATCCCAATGATGTTAGAAATTATACTAAAGGATGGAATTACAATATCTGTTACTGCCTGCATCATCCAGATGCATTGCTGTGCTCTTTGTGGAATTGTACAATGTTTGCTTATTGCAGTTATGTCCTATGATCGATATTTGGCCATATGTAACCCAATGCATTATAATTTAATCATGGAGCCTCATATATGTCTTCAGATGGTTGTCTGGTGTTGGTTGTTGGTTGTCCTTGAGTCCAGTGAATTTGCTTTGGTGTATCAGTTACATTTTTGTGGTGGGAGTAACATTGACCACTTCTTCTGTGACACTGGTCCAGTGATAGCGCTCTCTACAACAGACACCTCCCTATTCATACTAATTGATCTTTCTTTGTCCATTTCAGTTATTTTTCTTCCTTTTGCCTTTATTATTATGACCTATGTCTTTATCTCCTTCACTATACTACAAATTTCTTCATCCAGTGGAAGATGGAAATCCTTTTCCACATGCAGCTCACACTTGGCCACTTTGTGCACATATTATGGGAGCTTGATGACCATTTATTTGACACCATCTGATAAAAGATCACCTGATACAAACAAATTTATGTCTCTTTTCTACTTTGTGGCAATTCCACTGGTGAATCCCATTATCTACAGTCTGAGGAACCACAAGATAAGAAAAAAGCCTTAAAAGTTTTTTAGGAAATGTTAAAAACAATTCAATTACACTAAAACTATATGTATATTTTCCATGTTTCTAAGATAACAAAAAATTATAACATTTCATATAAATTGATTGTTGGGGTCTTGTTTTAGAATCTTTGCCTTGCTCTAACCACCATTATTATGTACTGTTTACATCCAAAGAAGTTATAACTAAACTGTTTGGGGTTGCGGGCTTGATCCCCAAGAGGCAATAGCTTTGTTTTGACTGATTTTAGCTCTTAATCTATAATTAGTTTAGCTGGTTTTTTTTCACTAATATTTTTTAGTTTGGAGTTGTTTATAGGAAATATGTCACTTAGGGGATTTTTCCTTTTGGGGGTATAATTTAGCAATTGTTATTCTTTTTTGAGGGGGTCTTTGGATTTATTTTGTGATGATAATTAGAGATGAGCGAAGTATTCAAAAATTCGATTCGACTGATTTGGCGAATTCGTGGAAAAAATTTGATTTGAGTCGAATATATTCGCTGTGAATTTAACTTATAAAAGGGTGTTTCTAGGCTTCAGAGAGCCTTTATATTAGTGCAGAACACTGTACCTTTAATTTAAATGCCCTTGGAGTCTGCTGGGGAAGAGAAATAATACTGTCACTCAGTATGACATGCAGATGAGTGCCGTCGATCTTAGAATCACCGCACACTTCACTCATTTGGGCAGTCACGGGGCCAAAACCAGAGTTTGGAGCCACAGTGTGGCGGTGGAGGCAGCAGCAGCAATGGGAGGCCATACAGCACCCTATGACAAAATGGAACCCACCAGCAGTGTGAGGAGACCTGAAAGTGGCACATGGCAGAGTGTGGCGATGGAGACAGCAGCAATGGGAGGCCGTACAGGGACCCATGACACACTGTGGACCTGGCAGCAGCGTGAGGAGGCGGTACAGGGGCCCATGGCAGATTAGGGGCCTGGCAGAAGCTATGGGAGACGCCCGTAATCTGCCAGCATCCTATGACAAAATGGAACCCACCAGCAGTGTGAGGAGAGCTGAAAGTGGCACATGGCAGAGTGTGGCGATGGAGACAGCAGCAATGGGAGGCCGTACAGGGACCCATGACACACTGTGGACCTAGCAGCAGCGTGAGGAGGCGGTACGGGGGCCCATGGCAGATTAGGGGCCTGGCAGCAGCTATGGGAGGCCTGTAATCTGCCAGCAACCTATGACAAAATGGAAACCAGCAGGAGTGTGAGGAGACCTGAAAGTGGCACATGGCAGAGTGTGGCGATGGAGACAGCAGCAATGGGAGGCGGTACAGGGACCCATGACACACTGTGGACCTAGCAGCAGCGTGAGGAGGCGGTACGGGGGCCCATGGCAGATTTTGGGCCTGGCAGCACCTATGGGAGGCATGTAATCTGCCAGCAACCTATGACAAAATGGAAAACCAGCAGGAGTGTGAGGAGACCTGAAAGTGGCACATGGCAGAGTGTGGCGATGGAGACAGCAGCAATGGGAGGCGGTACAGGGAACCATGACACACTGTGGACCTAGCAGCAGCGTGAGGAGGCGGTACGGGGGGCCCATGGCAGATTTGGGGCCTGGCAGCACCTATGGGAGGCCTGTAATCTGCCAGCAACCTATGACAAAATGGAAACCAGCAGGAGTGTGAGGAGACCTGAATGTTGCACATGGCAGAGTGTGGCGATGGAGACAGCAGCAATGGGAGGCGGTACAGGGAACCATGACACACTGTGGACCTAGCAGCAGCAGCGTGAGGAGGCGGTACGGACAAAATAAACGGGGGCCCATGGGCAGATTTTGGGCCTGGCAGCAGCTATAGGAGGCCTGTAATCTGCCAGCAACCTATGACAAAATGGAAACCAGCAGGAGTGTGAGGAGACCTGAAAGTGGCACATGGCAGAGTGTGGCGTTGGAGACAGCAGCAATGGGAGGCCGAACAGGGACCCATGACACACTGTGGACCTAGCAGCAGCGTGAGGAGGCGGTACGGGGGCCCCATGGCAGATTTTGGGCCTGGCAGCACCTATGGGAGGCCTGTAATCTGCCAGCAACCTATGACAAAATGGAAACCAGCAGGAGTGTGAGGAGAGCTAAAAGTGGCACATGGCAGAGTGTGGCGATGGAGACAGCAGCAATGGGAGGCGGTACAGGGAACCATGACACACTGTGGACCTAGCAGCAGCGTGAGGAGGCGGTACGGGGGCCCATGGCAGATTTTGGGCCTGGCAGCAGCTATGGGAGGCCTGTAATCTGCCAGCAACCTATGACAAAATGGAAACCAGCAGGAGTGTGAGGAGACCTGAAAGTGGCACATGGCAGAGTGTGGCGTTGGAGACAGCAGCAATGGGAGGCCGTACAGGGACCCATGACACACTGTGGACCTAGCAGCAGCATGAGGAGGTGGTACGGGGGCCCATGGCAGATTAGGGGCCTGGCAGCAGCTATGGGAGGCCTGTAATCTGCCAGCATCCTATGACAAAAATGGAACCCAGCAGGAGTGTGAGGAGACCTGAAAGTGGCACATGGCAGAGTGTGGCGATGGAGACAGCAGCAATGGGAGGCGGTACAGGGAACCATGACACACTGTGGACCTAGCAGCAGCGTGAGGAGGCGGTACGGGGGCCCATGGCAGATTTGGGGCCTGGCAGCAGCTATGGGAGGCCTGTAATCTGCCAGCATCCTATGACAAAATGGAACCCAGCAGGAGTGTGAGGAGACCTGAAAGTGGCACATGGCAGAGTGTGGCGATGGAGACAGCAGCAATGGGAGGCCGTACAGGGACCCATGACACATTGTGGACCTAGCAGCAGCGTGAGGAGGCGGTACGGGGGCCCATGGCAGATTTGGGGCCTGGCAGCACCTATGGGAGGCCTGTAATCTGCCAGCAACCTATGACAAAATGGAAACCAGCAGGAGTGTGAGGAGAGCTGAAAGTGGCACATGGCAGAGTGTGGCGATGGAGACAGCAGCAATGGGAGGCGGTACAGGGAACCATGACACACTGTGGACCTAGCAGCAGCGTGAGGAGGCGGTACGGGGGCCCATGGCAGATTTTGGGCCTGGCAGCAGCTATGGGAGGCCTGTAATCTGCCAGCAACCTATGACAAAATGGAAACCAGCAGGAGTGTGAGGAGACCTGAAAGTGGCACATGGCAGAGTGTGGCGTTGGAGACAGCAGCAATGGGAGGCTGAACAGGGACCCATGACACACTGTGGACCTAGCAGCAGCGTGAGGAGGTGGTACGGGGGCCCATGGCAGATTTTGGGCCTGGCAGCACCTATGGGAGGCATGTAATCTGCCAGCAACCTATGACAAAATGGAAACCAGCAGGAGTGTGAGGAGAGCTGAAAGTGGCACATGGCAGAGTGTGGCGATGGAGACAGCAGCAATGGGAGGCGGTACAGGGAACCATGACACACTGTGGACCTAGCAGCAGCGTGAGGAGGCGGTTGAGGAGTGGGTACGGGGGCCATGGCAGATTTTGGGCCTGGCAGCAGCAGCTATAGGAGGCCTGTAATCTGCCAGCAACCTATGACAAAATGGAAACCAGCAGGAGTGTGAGGAGACCTGAAAGTGGCACATGGCAGAGTGTGGCGATGGAGACAGCAGCAATGGGAGGCGGTACAGGGAACCATGACACACTGTGGACCTAGCAGCAGCGTAAGGAGGAGGTACGGGGGCCCATGGCAGATTTGGGGCCTGGCAGCAGCTATGGGAGGCCTGTAATCTGCCAGCATCCTATGACAAAATGGAACCCAGCAGGAGTGTGAGGAGACCTGAAAGTGGCACATGGCAGAGTGTGGCGATGGAGACAGCAGCAATGGGAGGCGGTACAGGGACCCATGACACACTGTGGACCTAGCAGCAGCGTGAGGAGGCGGTATAGGGGCCCATGGCAGATTTGGGGCCTGGCATCACCTATGGGAGAGGCCTGTAATCTGCCAGCAACCTATGACAAAATGGAAACCAGCAGGAGTGTGAGGAGAGCTGAAAGTGGCACATGGCAGAGTGTGGCGATGGAGACAGCAGCAATGGGAGGCGGTACAGGGAACCATGACACACTGTGGACCTAGCAGCAGCGTGAGGAGGCGGTACGGGGGCCCATGGCAGATTTGGGGCCTGGCAGCACCTATGGGAGGCCTGTAATCTGCCAGCAACCTATGACAAAATGGAAACCAGCAGGAGTGTGTGAGGAGAGCTGAAAGTGGCACATGGCAGAGTGTGGCGATGGAGACAGCAGCAATGGGAGGCGGGTACAGGGAACCATGACACACTGTGGACCTACCTTGGCAGCAGCGTGAGGAGGCGGTAGGGGTACGGGGGCCCATGGCAGATTTTGGGCCTGGCAGCAGCTATGGGAGGCCTGTAATCTGCCAGCAACCTATGACAAAATGGAAACCAGCAGGAGTGTGAGGAGACCTGAAAGTGGCACATGGCAGAGTGTGGCGTTGGAGACAGCAGCAATGGGAGGCTGAACAGGGACCCATGACACACTGTGGACCTAGCAGCAGCGTGAGGAGGTGGTACGGGGGCCCATGGCAGATTTTGGGCCTGGCAGCACCTATGGGAGGCCTGTAATCTGCCAGCAACCTATGAGAAAATGGAAACCAGCAGGAGTGTGAGGAGACCTGAAAGTGGCACATGGCAGAGTGTGGCGATGGAGAGGGCAGCAATGGGAGACGGTACAGGGACCCATGACACACTGTGGACCTAGCAGCAGCGTGAGGAGGCGGTACGGGGGCCCATGGCAGATTTGGGGCCTGGCAGCAGCACTATGGGAGGCCTGTAATCTGCCAGCAACCTATGACAAAATGGAAACCCAGCAGGAGTGTGAGGAGACCTGAAAGTGGCACATGGCAGAGTGTGGCGATGGAGACAGCAGCAATGGGAGGCGGTACAGGGAACCATGACACACTGTGGACCTAGCAGCAGCGTGAGGAGGCGGTACGGGTGGGCTTACAGGGGCCCATGGCAGATTTTTGGGGCCTGGCAGCATCTATGGGGGGCCTGTAATCTGCCAGCAACCTATGACAAAATGGAAACCAGCAGGAGTGTGAGGAGACCTGAAAGTGGCACATGGCAGAGTGTGGCGATGGAGACAGCAGCAATGGGAGGCGGTACAGGGACCCATGACACACTGTGGACCTAGCAGCAGCGTGAGGAGGCGGTACGGGGGGGCCCATGGCAGATTTGGGGCCTGGCAGCACCTATGGGAGGCCTGTAATCTGCCAGCAACCTATGACAAAATGGAAACCAGCAGGAGTGTGAGGAGACCTGAAAGTGGCACATGGCAGAGTGTGGCGATGGAGACAGCAGCAATGGGAGGCGGGTACAGGGACCCATGACACACTGTGGACCTAGCAGCAGCGTGAGGAGGCGGTACGGGGGCCCATGGCAGATTTGGGGCCTGGCAGCAGCTATGGGAGGCCTGTAATCTGCCAGCAACCTATGACAAAATGGAAACCAGCAGGAGTGTGAGGAGACCTGAATGTGGCACATGGCAGAGTGTGGCGATGGAGACAGCAGCAATGGATGGGAGGCGGTACAGGGAACCATGACACACTGTGGACCTAGCAGCAGCGTGAGGAGGCGGTACGGGGGCCCATGGCAGATTTGGGGCCTGGCAGCACCTATGGGAGGCCTGTAATCTGCCAGCAACCTATGACAAAATGGAACCAGCAGGAGTGTGAGGAGACCTGTAAGTGGCACATGGCAGAGTGTGGCGTTGGAGACAGCAGCAATGGGAGGCCGTACAGGGACCCATGACACACTGTGGACCTAGCAGCAGCGTGAGGAGGCGGTACGGGGGCCCATGGCAGATTTGGGGCCTGGCAGCACCTATGGGAGGCCTGTAATCTGCCAGCAACCTATGACAAAATGGAAACCAGCAGGAGTGTGAGGAGACCTGAAAGTGGCACATGGCAGAGTGTGGCGATGGAGACAGCAGCAATGGGAGGAGGTACAGGGAACCATGACACACTGTGGACCTAGCAGCAGCGTGAGGAGAGGAGGCGGTACGGGGGCCCATGGCAGATTTGGGGCCTGGCAGCAGCTATGGGAGGCCTGTAATCTGCCAGCATCCTATGACAAAATGGAACCCAGCAGGAGTGTGAGGAGACCTGAAAGTGGCACATGGCAGAGTGTGGCGATGGAGACAGCAGCAATGGGAGGCGGTACAGGGACCCATGACACACTGTGGACCTAGCAGCAGCGTGAGGAGGCAGTACGGGGGCCCATGGCAGATTTGGGGCCTGGCAGCACCTATGGGAGGCCTGTAATCTGCCAGCAACCTATGACAAAATGGAAACCAGCAGGAGTGTGAGGAGACCTGAAAGTGGCACATGGCAGAGTGTGGCGATGGAGACAGCAGCAATGGGAGGCGGTACAGGGACCCATGAGACACTGTGGACCTGGCAGCAGCGTGAGGAGGCGGTACAGGGGCCCATGGCAGATTAGGGGCCTGGCTGCAGCAATGTGAGGCCCGTAATCTGCCAGCATCCTATGACAAAATGGAACCAAGCAGCAGTGTGAGGAGACCTGAAAGTGGCACATGGCAGAGTGTGGCGTTGGAGACAGCAGCAATGGGAGGCCGTACAGGGACCCATGAGACACTGTGGACCTTGCAGCAGCGTGAGGATGCGGTACAGGGGCCCATGGCAGATTGGGGCCTGGCCGCAGCAATGTGAGGCCCGTAATCTGCCAGCATCCTATGACAAAAATGGAACCCAGCAGCAGTGTGAGGAGACCTGAAAGTGGCACATGGCATGACACACTGTGGACCTGGCAGCAGCATGAGGAGGTGGTACGGGGGCCCATGGCAGATTAGGGGCCTGGCAGCAGCAATGGGAGGCCCGTAATCTGCCAGCACCCTATGACAAAATGAAACCCAGCAGCAGTGTGAGGAGACCTGAAAGTGGCACATGGCAGGGGCATGATTCATGGCGGATTTAGTCAGTTGTGTCAGGAAAACTGGTGGTTTGAAATCCAGACTAATCCACGCCTGATTCATTTTCACAAACGTCAGTCTCTCCACACTTTGGGTGGACAGTCGTGTCCTCCGCGGAGTTACAATACCTCCTGCCGCACTAAACACGCTCTCCGATGCCACGCTACTGGCCGGGCATGACAGCCTTTCAAGGGCAAATTCAGCTAGTTGGGGCCAAAGGTCAAGTTTCGTTGCCCAGTACTCAAGGGGATTGTCTACCTCGGTTGGCAGGGTGCTGTCCAAGTAGGCCCAAGCCTGTTGTTTGAGCTCCTGCTCCAGGTCCACCTGATGCTGCTGCTGCTGCTGCGGCTGGTTAGTAGTTTCCTCACTGCGCTGGTGAAGAAAAGCTACTCATCATCGACTGCAGACTGAGGCAGCCGCTGCTGGTGGAGCTGCCACTGCTCCTACCACCCCACCCCTCCCCTGCTGCCATGGCAGCGGAAACGCGAGCGCACAGGGCCCACAGTGTCTGAGGATGGACGTTGGCGCAGAAAGGCAGAGACCAACTGACTACATAGGTGGTTTTTATAGTACGTTATTTTGGCCTCCCTCTCAGCAGGTGTGAAAAAGGCCACCATTTTGGAACGGTAGCGAGGGTCCAACAAGGTGGACAGCCAAAAGTCATCCCTCTGTCTGATGGTTATTATTCGGCTGTCGCTACGCAAGCAACCGAGCATGCTATGGGCCATTTGTGCCAAGGAATGCGAGGGACTCCCTGCCTCCATCTCCACAGCATACTGCCACGGTGCGTCTGGGTCCTCTCTCTCCTCCTCCTCCTCCTCTACCAGATGCTCCTGCTCCTCCACTCCTGTCCCGCTGAGTGGAAAAAAAACCACCCATTTCACTCAATAATTCCTGAGCACAAAATGTCCTCCTCTACCTCCTCCTCTTCTTCCTGTCCTGCCCCCACAGGGGTCATGTGGCGTTGAGATCTGTGCGCCACGTCTACCGCACCCTGACCAGCCATTGTTAACAGCATTTGTTCCAGGACGTGCAACAGAGGAATGACGTCGTTCATCCCATAGTCCTGCCGACTCACGAATAGCGTGGCCTCCTCAAAGGGCCTGAGCAAGCGGCAGGTGTCACGCTTGAGCTGCCAATGGCTGACATCGAAGTTACACAGGGGTGTACCTTTATCCGCTTGTAACATCAGGAAATCGGTGATGGCCTTTCGCTGTTCGTAAAGGCGGTCTAACATGTGTAGTGTTGAATTCCACCTTGTTGCAACGTCGCAGATCAGGCGATGCTGTGGAATTCCATTCTGCCGCTGCAGCTCAAGGAGGGTGTGCTTTGCGGTGTAGGAATGGCTGAAATGCATGCAAAGTTTACGTGACATTTTAAGGATGTCTTGCAGTGGGATGTGAGATTTTAGGAACCGCTTTGACAACCAGATTGAACACGTGAGCCATGCATGGCGCATGGCACAACCTTCCTTGACGCAGAGCAGACACCATGTTCTTTCCGTTGTCGGTCAACATGGTTCCGATTTTCAGTTTGCGCGGAGACAGCCATCTGTCGATTTCTCTGTTCATTACACTCAGAAGTTCCTCCCCTGTGTGACTACGTTCGCCAAGGCATACCAGGTGCAGCACAGCGTGACACCGTTGCGCCCTGCACATGTGATATGCCGGTCGGGTAATGGGACTTGGCACGGGGGTGGCGGCTGAGGACACGACGGAAGAAGAGGTGGTAGAGGCGGACATCTTTGCTGGACAAGGACGTGCAAACGTGGAGGCAAAAGCTTCGTGACCTGTCCAAGTTGCTGGTGCGGCTGTGCCGGCACCCACGTCACCCAGTGTGCCGTAAATGACATGTACTGTCCCTGACCGTAGTTACAGCTCCACACGTCGGCGCTGCCATGCACTTTGGCAGAGACCGACATGCTCAAAGACTGGCCCACCATCTCTTCTACATGTGAATGCAGGGCTGGCACTGCCTTTTGGCGAAGAAAATGACGGCTTGGCACTCTCCACCGCGGCGCGGCACAAGCCATCATTTCTCGGAAAGGTGCTGAGTCCACCACTTGGAAAGGGAGGGACTGCAGCACCAGCAACTTGGAAGGAGGACGTTCAGCTTTTGCACCGTCGGGTGCGTGCTCGCAAACTGTTGTCTCTTGGAAACGGATTCCAAAAAAGACTGCTGACGGAATCCGTGAAGAGGAGTAGCAGGAGAAGGAGCATCTGAACGAGCGGAAGATGCCAACGAGCGACAACTCCCCTCAGCAGAGGTGTTGGAGCCTTGACTGGCTGATAGAGGGCGATTGACGTCGGGTGACGGAGCAAGTAACGGAGCTGGTGATGGAGCGGGGGCTGGGGCAGGCAGAACCGCCGTATCTTTATCACGGTTTTCCCAGGCCACCAAATGGCGACGCTGCATATGCTGACGCAACGCTGTAGTCCCAACATGGGCCCCCTGGCCACGCTTGACTTTCTGGCCACATAGTCGACATACGGCTACGTTTACTTCCTCGGGCGGCTTGACGAAAAATTGCCACACCGCCGAGTAGAAAACTTTGCCCCGATACTCCTCATGGCTGACTGCTACTTCCTCCGTGCACACCGGCACCACTACTGGCCGTTGGTGGTAGGCTGCAGTGGGGCTGGTGCTCTACTCCGTGGCCGTTTGCCTCCACTGACACTGCTGCGACCCTGCTGCCTCCTGGGCAACCCACCGACTGTTTTGCTCGCTGCCAAGCTGGCACCCTCTTCTCCTGATGATGCGGAAGAAATTGCCTGATGACGACGAGGCTACCAAGTGCGATCAACCTCCTCATCATCAAGTAGGGTCTCTGCCTCACTACTAGCCCCTCGGCTGCGTTCTGGGTCAGGAGACAGACCTGTCTCTAGACCGGCTACCGAGCCACTCTCCTCGCCAGTACTTCTTCGCCTGGCTGCTGAAGAGGCGGATGTCTCCCCCCGTTCCTGACCGCCCTCTGTTAGCTCTTCCTCACTGTACAGTGGGGCTGAGCCCACAGCATGCGATACTTCGCTTGGTGAGGGACCTGCAAAGGACAGGGGCAGGTAGAGGACACGTGATTTCAGTGGGCTTGCTCCCGGGCTATGCCAACTAACGGTTGTGTCTGACGTACACACCGACCGTTGGCTGTAGGGTGTCAGAGGTGACCTGGGAAGAGGAAGACGACCGAACCAACCAATCGATGACGGCAGGGTTGTCGGTGGAGACACGACCGCTGGATGACAGCGGGAGCACTGGCCTCTGGCTGCGACTAGTGCTGCCTCGACCCCTTCCTCTGCTGCCACGTCTGCTCGCTCCTAAAACATTGCCTCCTCTGCCACTCCTCTGCATGTTGTCTGACTCTTTAATTCAACGATTCTGTGTCCCTGAGTAACAATTCTGTGTCCCTGAGTAACAATTCTGTGTCCCTGAGTAAACAATTCTGTGTCTGTCCCTGAGTACAATTCTGTGTCCCTCAGTAACAATTCTGTGTCCCTCAGTAACAATTCTGTGTCTGTCCCTGAGTAACAGTTCTGTGTCCCTGAGTAACAGTTCTGTGTACCTGAGTAACAGTTCTGTGTCCCTGAGTAACAGTTCTGTGTCCCTCAGTAACAATTCTGTGTCTGTCCCTGAGTAACAATTCTGTGTCCCTCAGTAACAATTCTGTGTCCCTGAGTAACAATTCTGTGTCCCTCAGTAACAATTCTGTGTCCCTCAGTAACAATTCTGTGTCCCTCAGTAACAATTCTGTGTCTGTCCCTGAGTAACAGTTCTGTGTCCCTGAATAACAGTTCTGTGTCCCTGAGTAACAGTTCTGTGTCCCTGAGTAACAGTTCTGTGTCCCTCAGCAACAATTCTGTGTCTGTCCCTGAGTAACGATTCTGTGTCCCTGAGTAACAATTATGTGTCCCTCAGTAACTATTCTGTGTCTGTCCCGGAGTAACAATTCTGTGTCCCTGAGTAACAGTTCTGTGTCCCTCAGTAACAATTCTGTGTCTGTCCCTGAGTAACAATTCTGTGTCCCTCAGTAACAATTCTGTGTCCCTGAGTAACAATTCTGTGTCCCTCAGTAACAATTCTGTGTCCTCAGTAACAATTCTGTGTCTGTCCCTGAGTAAAGTTCTGTGTCCCTGAGTAACAGTTCTGTGTCCCTCAGTAACAATTCTGTGTCCCTCAGTAACAATTCTGTGTCCCTCAGTAACAAATCTGTGTCTGTCCCTGAGTAACAGTTCTGTGTCCCTGAGTAACAGTTCTGTGTCCCTGAGTAACAGTTCTGTGTCCCTCAGTAACAATTCTGTGTCCCTCAGTAACAATTCTGTGTCCCTGAGTAACAATTCTGTGTCTGTCCCTGAGTAACAGTTCTGTGTCCCTGAGTAACGGTTCTGTGTCCCTGAGTAACAGTTTCTGTGTCCTCAGTAAACAATTCTGTGTCTGTCCCTGAGTAACGATTCTGTGTCCCTGAGTAACAATTATGTGTCCCTCAGT